GTTCAATCGTAATACCTGTGGACCTTGTTGTGGGATGAAGCTCCTGGCATGTCGGTGTTCAGTTTGGTCGAGTGGCAACTTTAACCGACTGATGCCGTCTTGTAATCATACGTCATGTGCGCCTACTGACATCTGATGCACTGAAGCTGCAGGGCTGGCTTCTAATCCGCAAAATTTTCCTGGTAGTTTTCTGCATCAATGCAGCAAGCTCAGGCATGTATTGGTTATATGACTGTGCCTTTTGCTGTACCGTTGGCTTGATAGCTGGCAACAATGTTTGCTATCCAAGCCATTTCACTTCCATTTCGTAATGGAGATTTATTGTGCATCCCACGACCACTGCAACTTGTGCAAGTCTTGTGTGGCAAAGTGAAGTCTCGTGACGCTTGCAGTCCATTTTTGAGAGAAACCAACCATTCTATTTCTTAAAGGGAAGCTACGGAGCTTCTTGGAAAAAATGAGTTAGAAGTGAATTCTAGTGTATTTTTACCCCGTGAACCCAAATACCCAAACCATTTGCTGCGTAAGTATTGTTAAACGCGAGAAAAACGCGAAAGACAGTCGCTGTCCATGACGTCATCGACGGCTCTTTTGGCTGCCCAAGGCTAGGGGGGCGGAGCTTCAGCCCTATTTTGAAATTGCTCTTGTGGCTCTCCGGCGCGTCGCATTGAAATATAATTTTGATATCTGTTATTCTAAAGGCCAAATGAACGCAATTCAAGCGTTTTTTCTCAAATGTAGAAGTGCCCCATCTTCCCTTTAAGGTCACTGAGCAGCATTCTTCCTCAAAGTTGGAAATTGTGTGCTTCATGGCGTGGACACAGATAATTAGTGTCAGCAAATTATTAGGTATTGTCCTTGGACTACAACCGACACCAGATCAACTCTCCTTGCATTGCCGCTCACCTGCTTTGTCGTGCTTACCTCCCGTCCAGATGAAGTAGATCACAAGCTTCGGGGTAATGTCGGCACCAGGGACAAAGACCGCCGAAGATAATCCTCAATCTTCCCCGGACGCTCGTCAAGACGTGGTCGAGGGTCGTTCGGCACGAACCCTTGCAAGCCAATTCATTGGTACGGGCACCTCCAGTAGACAAGGTCCGCCTCATGCAATGGTAGCAGAGTGGTTTTCGGTCGGCCATTCGCAGTACCTCCATCTTCCTCGGTGTACTTTGTTCAGCGCGGACCTACACTGGTTCTTCTCAATATTGGGAATGCTTCGGCATTGGGGTGTTTCGTTGAATTGGCATTGAATAGTAACAGGTAGCCGGTGGTGGTCATTGTGACTTTGTGGCATAAGTCGCCCTCGTTTCGTCAGATGCCGCTTCGCTCGAAGAAGCCTCCAGTTGAAATGCCTGTCAAACTTCTGAAAAAATCTCGGCGATCAAAATTAAAGCCGGGCAACTGATGGCAGGAACTAGCTTCCTTATCTCCTCCCGGACACCGTTGTGAATGATGTCACGGATGCCTGCGTCTGGGGGCTGGCGTCGAAGTTGCAGCTGGACGACTTGAGTGTCGCGACGCTGCGGAGTTTTTAATAGTGACGTGCTCGGGCCTGCAGTGTGCATTCAATGTTGGAAGCTGCATTGATATGAACCCTTCGACTGTTGTCGTGGGGTTGCGGACAAGGCTGCTGAAGGTGTTGTCCCTCACATGAGGAACATGGGATTCTTAGCTTCTTGTCTTCTGTAGCATCAGGGTTGGCGAGTGTGCTCGATCAGAAGCAAAACATCCTCCACGAAGGTGGTGACGCTCTCGTTGGGGCCGTGTCCTGGACAGAATCGGGAATTCGGCTCTCTCTTGTCAGTGTTGGCTGATGAACATGCACTTCAGCTCAGTCTTGCAAACTTCCCACGACGTTAAGGAGGATTCGTGGTTCTCCAACCAGTGCCTCACAGTTTCTTTCACGAGAAGTATAGGTTCTGCAGGAGCTGGTTGTCCATCTACCCACTGGCAGGCGACACGGTCATATTGTTCAATCCAGCCCTCGACGTCTTGTGCACCTTGCGTGAAAGGGCATCGGAGTGCGAGGTGCGACGGGCATGCAAACGATGGTGGGAGCGAACGTGTTTTGCTGCGACAGGGTTGTCATTGTTGGCTTAGTCAGCTTCGGTTTTTCTGGCAAAAGACCTAATTCCGTTGGTTCTTGCTGGTAGCAGCGCCTGGCTTAAATTTCAAGTTCTTCGTAGTGTATTTCCGAGTTTCGCCCTTGTGGTACTCGCTCGTCTTGCAATTTTGCTGCCGGGCTTGGGATAAGACTTGGTTCACGGCTCGCCGGGGGTTTAAGACTCGGGATAATGTGCCACCCGTGTCTTGTTATCGGGCAACTCGGCTGAGGAGCCGCCAGGGTAGACACAGAATGAAGGGCTATGGGTAAAGTGCGCAGCACCTCCACCAGAACATACAATGACAGCTGAGCATGGCCTGGAACTTTCCAGAATAGTAAATATTGATAGAAAATAGGACTGGAGCAAGCATGCGAGACAATATAACAAAACAGACAGAAAAGAGTCTATCCTGACCACTAAAGAAGCTGCACTGCTTTGGTGGCATTCTGTCTGAATAAATCCTCTCCTTCGGGGTCTGGCGACTGTCGTGGACGAGCTGAACTGAAATCGATGTGAGACCACTTTTCTGGTAATGAGCCGCTGCAGACTTCCGTCGCAAAGCGGCGTGAATGGGTGGACTGGGTAGGTAACGCGCACGATGAAATGTCCACACAGCTTGCAATTCGCGTAACGAGTGTTGCAACTTAGGTGTCGACAAAACGTGCGACAGACCAGCGAACTCAATACCAACTGCAACACCTGTGCTCAGTGAAGGTGCACGTCTGCGCCAGAACAATTTAGTAGGCAGCACAGCATCACCTAAAGCACGGCACAGGAACTACCAGCTTGAAGGCAGCTCTTCGGCGTGCCGCACACCTGTGCTCCGTAAAAGAGCACGTCTACGCCGAAACAATTTGGGAAGCAGCACAGTATCACTTAGCCTGGCACGGGAACTAAAAGCGGCAAGGCAGCTCTCCGGTGCACCGCACAACCAAAGTGAGCCTTCGGGCATTTGGACGAAGCGACACCACGATTGCACACTGCCAAGCACGACTCACTCAATTTCCGTCGCTAAACTGTGTATCCAAATATATTGCACACGCTTTACTACAGATCTCGAAGGTTCCGACGGTCAACAAGAGCACAGAAACGTCGCCTTAAATTTTATCCTAGCGGTATCCGAATCAATCCGAGGTGCGAGCAACGTAGGGCAGATTGTCTCTTCCGTGGCAATATTGCCGCCCGTTACCAGCGAAATGCACACCGTTCCTCCGTATTTTCAACTTGTACCTACGTCAGACACCACACTGAACTCCGAAGTAGCTGTCGACCGGCCTCATATGACGGCTTCTGCGCCTGAAATCAACTCACCGAGACGAACGACAACCAACAAAGCATCCGACAAGCTCTGGCCCAGCTGGGGCCAGCCGCTGCATGGGCGCTGCCATCTTTTCTGTGACGTCATGCATTTGGTTCGGTCATGTGACGAGTGGTCAAATTTGCGTACAATGGCAGCCGCCTTATGGGGGTCACTTTCGAGTGCAGACCAGAACCCCGGTTTATCGCTCTAAGCCCCTCTACCTCGTTGTCCCAAAGTCACTTTTGCTGCACCGAAACACTGTCTTGACTGCTCCAAAATCCACTTTTAGTGCTCCAAAACACTGTCTTGGTTGCTCCAAAGACCACGTATGCTGCTCCAAAACACTGTTATGGCTGCTCCAAAAGGAGCTACAAAATGGTTTAGGCCAATCACATCACTGATAAGGTCATTTAATGCATATTTATCCTTTATTTTAGGGAAGCTGCAGCTGCTATCCTGGAAGAAAACGACGATGCCTAGAAGCAAGAAATCATTTCTAATATGTTAAATAAAGACTGTCGTGATTATCTACCTTTAGATCTAGTTGAAACTTTTTCTAGTTTGGGATATCCAAACACTAATGGTTGTCCCAATTCGTATCTGTCAACATGATTTGAAGAGTTGGACCAATTGCTTTTTTCCTATTGGGAGTCCGAATACAGAAATAGGTTTTTTCCAATATGTTGCATCCTATTGACAATGCCGAACTGGTTCGAATTGGTGATGTTCAATTAGATTTCGACAATTGAAACCAATCGACTTTTTCTATAACTAGGATTCTGAAATCAGATTGGATTCCCCATTGGCTCTAATTGTCGATAACTAATTAGAACCAATTGACTTTTTCTAACTAGGAGTCCGAAATCACAGATAGGATTCCCTATTGGTTCTAAATGTCGACAACTAATTGGAACCAATTGACTTTTTCTAACTAGGAGTCCGAAATCACAGGTAGGATTCCCCATTGGTTCTAATTGTCAATAACTAATAGGACCCAATGGTTATTTTTAACTGGGAGACAGCTCCTCCGTAATAAAGGAACGTTGACTGCTGCTGTCAAAAAGAATTCGGAATAGTCTTCTTTTGTTTTTGTTCTCGGCCCATGGGGTCACCGTCTGCAAGAACACTGCTGGCTTACTGTTCTTTCCATTGATCTGAAGACTGACCGGTGTTTTATCTTCGCTTTCTGTTTTATTCACCGCGAAAAGTCGTTCCAGTACGTAATCCGGGTTACACATAGTAGGCGCATGCCATCCTTGACACCTGGTGCAACACGGCGTGCTTCGGCACATTCTCGTGTGGTTTGCTTTTGTGCAATGAAAGCATCTGTTGCCAGCCTGTAATCTTTGTTTTTTTTTCTCAGTGAGCTCAATATTGGCATTGCAGTTAGATGTGGCGCGTTCTTCAGATTTGCAGAACTAACACTCTAAGCCTTCAGTCTTGCCATACAAGGCCGCTGCGGTAGAGTTTCGATGGTTCGTGTAGTTTGAAAGTTTCTTCGGCAGTTCTTGTTTAGGGAAACGAATTGCAGGCTTACCGCCAAAGTCGTCCTCTTGTTCCTCTGACGTCCTTTCCCGGCTCTCGACTTCAACTCAAATAAATTTGAGTAGAGTCCGTAGAGCTCTTAGATGAACATTCTCTGTTGGAGACTCGGGACTGGTGCCCGTCACTGCAGTGGCGTTCTTGGTGTCCTCCAACGACATCTTCCGGTTGTAGTCCAGGGACATGTTCTTCGGTAGTGCTCGCAGTAGGAGAGGGTAGAGCATGGCGCAGTAGGATTCCTCGCCCACACCCAGTGCTCTAAGTCCCCAGATGTGCGCCTGAAGACTGTCGTGCAAACGACGCAGGGTTCGGGCATTGCCCTGTAGTGGTACCTTCTGGATGTCCATCAGACTTTTCATGTGGTCGTATACCAGAGCCTCTTGCTTGGCGAATCGCTGCTGTAGAAGGTCGATCGCGTCCGCATAGCATTGAGCGGTTGGCTGTAGTCCCTGGATGGCAGCTGATCCATCTCCGGTAAGCGCTGATCTCAGGTACTTAAACTTTTCCGATGGAGTCAGTTCCGGATTCTCGTGGATTGTGGTTTCACTCACAGAATGCTTGCCAATTCTTCCGGTTGCCGTTGAACTTGATAAGTTCTAATTTTGGAAGCTTGACTTTCGCTTTTACGGCTGTTGCTCTCCAATCGTTCGAGGAACCGCTTGCTCGTTGGCTGTTCTCCACGCCCTTCACCTTCTTTCTGAGCTTCGTGAGGCATGTGACAATCTTGTGGGTATAATCTACGATTTGCGTGAACTCCATTTCCATGTCTCTTTCGGTAATCAAAGGCTCGATCGCGGCATCTACGTGGCCGAGTTGATCCCGAGAGAGGCTTATGCACTGGATCAAAATCTCTAGGTCATTGATGACTGCCGGAGTCAGCTGAAATAATTCTTTTGCCTCGCTGAGGAGTTTCGTTACTTGTGTTTGCAGAGTCTTCCGTTTCTTATTGATGATGTCCATAATCTTTCAGTCTTGTCTCAATGGAATGTTGCTTCTGTCGTTTGATAGGTATTGCTTCGGTCTACCAGATTTCCTTCGTTGAATCGTTACGTAGCGCGTTTCCGCACAAAATGCAGGAACTTCTGGTGGTCATTGTTGGTTACGTTGATGCAAACATTTATTTACACTATGCACAAGCAACAAAGCAGTTCGATCTGACGTGTCCATCCTATGTGTTCCGAGAACAAGCCCTGGGCCATGCGCTCCCAGGCCACTAGCTCCTTGCCATGAGCTCCTTTTCAAAATGTCTCTGGCCCATTTCCTCGTCTCCAGTCTATGATCGTTGGTACACATTGTTTGTAAATGTAAAAAATTGGTTAGTTTGCAATAAACAGTGAGCTTCTTATATGTCAAATATTGATCTCTTCATTCTAACATTAATTATGTACTGCTCATGCAAGCTGTTGCTCCCAAGTGCTTGGTAGGAAAAGATACGTATTTAAGAGGTTCGAAGGGAGATAGCATGCGAACTTACTCAGCATTACAAGTGCTTGAAGCCCGTGTAGTCTGCAGGGTTCGGGGCGGGGAACTCTTTGCGGACCCTGGTCACCACGCAGCTGGGCAAGGTGACCCGGTTCTCCTTTCCTAGCCTTCCGTGTACCCACCAAACGAATTGGCAGTACGCCGTGTACCTGTACTTACTGCAATGATAACATAATAAAGTTATTTAGTTACACTGCCAGGTATCCACTTGGAACTAGAAGGCATTCATTGTTTTTAGTTCGATGGCCAGCAGCAAGACGCCACGAGCTGTAGTTTCATTAAAACATGCATATTTGAGCGAGCAAGCATGTGATGAATGGTTTGCTTCTAAATTTTGGGTGTTTTTCAGGCCACCAATAAAAACCTGCCTGTGTCGGAAACTTCGATTGCCAACATTGAGGCACTGCCTTTTCTGGTTCATCTAATGCAAATCTCGCTTTACATCCTCCCTTTATTTACAAAGCGGTGCACTTGATAGTAAAAAGGTATAGTAATTTAATTTCACTGTACGTACGCATTTATCTCCTTTATGTTTCTCGTGCTGAGAGGCCGGCAGACTCTCGGCCTCTCAGAACGAGAGGCCGAGGCCGAATATCCCGGTTCAGGCAGTATAGCTCGAAGAGCCTATGCGTTGTGATGCAGGGAAGGCTCCCAGCCTTTTCTGTGACCTTGTACTGCTCCTTGCAGCACACACTTTCCACTGGTGTGGACATGGTGCCACACCGGGATTCGCAGCAGCACCTGTTTCCCAAAGTTAGAAACATGAATTAGTGCATATGTCAACATTTCTGTAACGCTGTGTGGGCACTGGTGTGGCTACACACTTTGTCACTTTCTTTTCTCAATCCAATTGCTCACCCAAACACTGCTCAAGCCTCAGATGCCTTTTGGGAGTATCCACAACCACGATGCAGTCACTATACAGCAGCTACATTTTTGCGTATAATAATATAGTAATGCTTTATTCATATTCCGGAATCTTTGACCCAGGCATAGAGGGCCGCAAAAAAGCAGTGCTGCCCATGCCACAAGGGCCTGAGTGCCCAACCTGGGGCCCAGCATTGCGCAAACACGTGCATAAAAAAAAAGAAAAACACGTACAGCGCGCACGTGAGTATTTCGACGGTGTATCGGCACTGCGTGCAGGTTAAAGCCCGCACGCAGCTGATGCATCTTCAATTTCTAACGCGCCTACGCGGGACAGGTGCACAGGTAGCCCTGTCTTAGCACTGACAGTTTTTAGCAAAAGGAGGCGCATCTTTCTGTAGCCCAAACGATGGAACCGATAAGTTCAGGTTAGCACTCGGCCCGCCCGCAGGGGCCGCGGCGACGCCAGGACGCCGACCCGCCGCGGCCCCGACCGAAGGTCAGCGGGCAGAGCCCAAGGTAGGCTGCCCCAAGGCCCACCTGCCACCCCCCAACCAGAGCCGACCAGAGCCCGGCGCCCTGACGGTGCCACAACCCCGTAAAACCAGCAGGCGAACCCGCGCTTCCCACAAATGATGTAGCGGGAGCTCTGGACGTCAAAACAAGCCCGAAGGTCGGCTTCGCAGCAAAAGCAGTGCGATCATACGACATAATCACAGCGGCAGTGCACCCCCGGAGCGGGCGGCAATGAAATCTATGTGCCACCGTCGGATGAACTCCTCTTTTCCGAGGGTAAAAAAGACATCCTCGAGGTGGGAAAGCAGGAAGCTACGCAGCCGGTGGATCATCGGGAACATCCACCTGAAACGATGCCCTTGGGCATCAGCGGTATTCCTATTTGTCCACAAAATAAAGCAGGCGCACCCATAAACAAGTCTGGAGCTTACGGTGACGCGCACAGAGGTGTCTGCCTAGTGGGAGAACAAACATCCGGCTGACCCATCTCCAAAACGTATGAGCAACGACACAGCTGACCACAACTTGTATGCTTGCCTCTATGGCACCACCGCTGTTAGGACACAGGTTGGATGCCGAGATACCCCACTATGCATGGCGATCCCGGGTGGGCAGGCCACCCCAACCGAGCCTCCAGTGGAAGGCCACCGCAGTTGTGGGGAGGTTCAGGGACATGGCACACGTCCAGTTGGTAGTGCGGCTCTGCACCTCCCCGCAGGGGGCACCTGTGAAAGCAGGTGTTTGGAGAGTGGCGTCTCCACGGACCCCGAGCCCGGCAGGGGGCGCCTGCACCTTTGGTGTTGGGTGCTTGGTGAGTAGCGTCACCACGGACCCCAGCTGCGTGGGCCACCATACCCGCACGCAGGGGGCACCTACCTTAGAGTAGGTGCTTGGTGAGTGGCGTCACTACGAACCCCAAGCCATGTGGGTTTGACCACCCATGTCTGGTTGCGCGTGGTTTAACCCGTGTCCGGGGAAAAGGGGACCCTGGTGGTTGAGCTGAGCCTGGGGTTTGTTTGGACCCTTCGGGGCCCCCCGGGAATACACTGCTTCGACCCCTGCTTCTCGTAGACGGGCGTCCTGGCTTGGCCCGACCAGGATTATTCAGTCAATATCCTCTTCTACCCTCACCCGTCTTTCACTTCTCTCACCTCTTTTTTTCTTCTACACTCCCTTCCTTCCTTTTTCACCTTCTTAGGCGGCAAGGGCCAACCTTGAATGGTAACAGGTCCTGTCCCTGCAACCACACTAGGGTAGAGTGCCCGGGCAGCACTGGTAGTGTAATTGTGTCAGCCAAGCCTTTCTTGCTATGGCACATTACCTACCCCCTTGTTGGGCTCCGTGGTGGGCGGTGCACTCGGGCACTGAATATTCCTCCCCATGTCATGACTTCTCGTGCAAAAACCTTCCTCGATCGACCCCCGAAAAGAGGCCGCACCGAAGTTCCAACCACAGTCAACACGCCATCTACTTCTGCTAGGTTCCCAAAGTTCTTGGTCCTGCATTCTGAAATTGAAAAACCACTATCAAAGTTTTCTCCCTTCCTTGTAGCCAAGGTACTTGAATCTACTGTCGGAAAGAAATTCAAGGCCAAGGAATCGCCCTCTGGCGACCTGCTTGTTGAAATCGAATCAAGCCAGCAGAGTGCTGCAGCACTCTGCTGGCTTGAAGGTGAAGGTACCCAGCCTTCACAGCCTCTGGCAATGTAGTGGATTCAAAGGTAAGAACTATGTGCTTCGTTTTCGGTTCTTGGCCGTCGCGGCGCAAGGAGATGCGCCTTGCCGCTAACACGCCTTGGTTGGAAAGTCCCTTAGCTATTTCACTGTCTGAGGAGTCAAGGAGGTCATCCTCAGAAATAACCCCCTGGATGGTATTTAGGGTGTGATGAGGTGTAACTGTGATTTTCTGGTCAGATATGGAACTTAAAGCAACAAGGGCATGCCCGGGGGTTATTTCTGAGGATGACCTCCTTGACTCCTCAGACAGTGAAATAGCTAAGGGACTTTCCAACCAAGGCGTGTTAGCGGCAAGGCGCATCTCCTTGCGCCGCGACGGCCAAGAACCGAAAACGAAGCACATAGTTCTTACCTTTGAATCCACTACATTGCCAGAGGCTGTGAAGGCTAGGTACCTTCACTGTAGAGTGCGGCCCTACGTGCCAAATCCTCACAGGTGTTTTAACTGTCGGAGATTTGGTCATGGATCCCTGAACTGCCGAGGCAAAGCCACTTGTGCGAAGTGCGGTCAGGCTAACCATCAAGCAGATACATGCTCTAACGACGCCAACTGTGTCAACTGCAACAGTCCCCATCCCGCGTATTCTCACTCTTGTAAAACATGGAAAGATGAAAAAGCTATTCTTACCTTGAAAGTGAAGGAAAATCTGTTATCCAGAGGCATGCCGTCGCTTTGCGTTGTTGCAAAAAGGCGACTTTGCAGAGGTGGTGCAGCGGGGGACTGCACCACTGAAAGTGGCAGTGGCAACCCAGACGTCTTTTCCAAACGATGGGAAGCTACTGCAGTCCTCCATGCCCAGGCTGAAGATTCAGCTCCCTGGGCATGCACTTTCAGCAGGTCGGTCTCCCGACCAGTCCAACCAGAGTGCTAACTGCCCTCCACCTTCAGGGCAGCAGCATCTCCGTTCTGGCGGAGAGTGTGCACTGGCTGCCCCCCCCCTTCTCAGGATGGGCCGGCAACTGCAGCTGTTGTACCCGTTCGCACTCCGCGGTCCCCTTCCAGGGAAAGAAGTCGACGCTCTCGTCCGCACTCTTCGGAGAGAGCATCCTCTTCCAAGGAGCGGCATGTCTTCTGTCGCTCCTACAGTCACAAAGGGGCAGGAACGGGTGGAGTCGGGCAGTGCCCTGCCCAACACACCTGCTGCCTCTTCTGCTGGGTCAGGC